TAAATTCAGGCCTGGCCTTGGGATGATCTGAGGCATCTCTTCTCCCAAGGTCCCAATCCCTCATGCCTCCCTTTGACTTTTTTTTAAACTTCTTATATTATATTGGAGTATAGTTGATTAGCTATTAATTGATGGTTATTACTTGATCACGTCACCGACTCAACATGAGTTTGAGCAAACTTTGGGAGACAGTGGAGAGCAGAGAAGCCTGGCATGCCAGCAGTCCATGGGGTCAGACACAGCTTAGCGACTGAACAAAAACAACAATGTTGTTGATTAACAACGTTGTGTGAGTTTCAGGTGTACAACAAAGTGATGCAGTTATACACATCGATGCACAGTATCAATTCATTCTCAATTTCTTTCCCCAATCAGGTTGTTACAGAATATTAACAGAGTTCCCTGTGCCGTACAGTAGGTCCTAATTTTAAATAGAGCAGTGGGTACATGTCCATCCCAAACTCCCTAACTCTCTCTCCCCGCAACACCCACAACCGTAAGTTCACTTCTCCCAGTCTGTGAGTCTGTTTCTGTTCCATAAATAAGTTCATTTGTATCCTTTTTTTAAAGATTCTGCATATAAGCAATATCGCACGATGTTTCTCTTTCTGTGACTTACTTCACTCAGTATGTCACCCTAGGTTTGATCTTGTGTTTGATTTTATGACAATTATTCACTATCATGGCTGTTGAGGGAAAAAGTAAGTAAGTAGAGTGTAAGTGTTCTCAATCAATATTCATTACCTATATGCAGCTGTCAACTGAAAAAAAACATGTACAACGTGAGAGTTGTGAGCCAAGTTTTATTTGGGGCCTAATGAGGACTGCAGCCCAGGAGACAGCCTCTCAGAGAGCTCTGGGGCACAGCTCTGAGGAGGCGGCAGGGAGGCCAGTATATACATATACGTATGAATTTAATGAAGGAGGATACATACAATCAAGCACACATTTTAGCAGAAAATTGCTGCTAGTCACACGGAGGTTGCTATTAATCACAAGGAGCAGATGCCTCCAGTAATGCCCTTAGTGCTTCTCTAGATGGAAGATGCAAGAAATTGGGTTCATAAGACTCTCTCCTGGAAATATCTAACTACCTGAAGTCCTGTCCTGCAAGTTTCTCCAGAGCACAGAGTGCCTCCTTTCGGACTTCCGCCCTGAACTCTTTTCGGGGTGTGCTCACGGTCACTGGCTGCAGTGACAAGAGAGAGACTCAATCCTTGTAGAACCAGATGGCGACTGACAGTTTCTAGTTGGCACGAGAGACATAAAGTGATCCAAAGGAAATCAGGAGAGGTGAGCGTTGTCATAGCCGAATCGTTCAATTCAGAGAAAGCTAATTTCACTGTCCCCTTGGCACAGGGCCATTCACTTATTCAATCAACAAACCTGTTAATCCATTACTATAATAGGGTAGTTACGTTAGATGCTGGATTCTTGTTGTTATTCAGTCACTCAGTCGTGTCCAACTCTTTGCAAGCCCAAGGACTGCAGTACACCAGACTCTCCTGTATTTCACTATCTCCTGGAGTCTGCTCAAACTCGTGTCCAGTGAGTGAGTGATGCCATCCAACCATCTCATCCTCTGTCACTCCCTTCTCCTCCTGCCCTCAATTTTTCCCAGCATCAGGGTCTTTTCCAATGAGTCGGCTCTTTGCATCAGGTGGCCAAACTATTGGAGCTTCGGTATCAGTCCTTCCAATGAACATTCAGGGTTGATTTCCTTTAGGATTGAAACTGGTTTGATTTCTTTGCAATCCAAGGGACTCTCAAGAGTCTTATCCAGCTCCACAATTTGAAAGCATCAATTCTTCGGTGCTCAGCCTTCTTTATTGTCCAACCCTCACATGCACATATGATTAGTGGAAAAACCAAAGCTTTGACTATATGGACCTTTGTCAGCAAAGTGATGTCTGCTTTTTAGATGCTTGACTTCCCTGGTAGCTCAGACGGTAAAGTGTCTGCCTACAATGCGGAAGACCCAGCTTCAATCCCTGGGTCGGGAAGATCCTCTGGAGAAGGATTTTCCAGTACTCTTGCCTGGAAAATCCCATGGATGGAAGAGCATGGTAGGCTGTCCATGGGGTCGCAAAGAGTCGGACACGACTGAATGATGTCACATATGGAGATAAATAGGATACAGTCTCTGCCTGGAGCTTTTGATCCAGTGAGGGAGACTGAAGACTGATCAGCCAGCTACAACATTAAATGTATGTTAAAAGCGCTGATAGTGGCAAAGAGCCTTAAGGACACTCCAGACAAGTCATTGTGCTCCATTTCTGCAACTATTCTGGCATGCTCTGAAAAGGCCTGGGCAATGACTGATCCATGCTATAGGCTTCTAGCAACTTTCCACTCCATCCATGGCAGGGACCCAGGGGTAGGGACAGAGAGAAGCTTGTAAGTTGCCTGAGGTCATGAGATACCTTAAGTCACAGGTTAAATTCAAGTCCTGGAACTGCAAAACCCAGAAACAAGCAGGCAGCTCGTGCCAGAGCATAATCCATCTCATGACTTGACAAGATGATCTCTATTTGTCTTCTCCACGAGGCCAGCTGAAACATTAGCCTCTCTGTGGCTTAATGACACAGTTATTATTGTTGCTTTCCAAAATGAGGCATCACACGGATACACAAACACATGTGCAGAAAGTATTTATGGACTCTGCCAATGAAATACATGTCAAAGCAAGCTCTCCCACTGAATGAATATACTTATAAGTGTCACTCCACCCACCAATTGTTAAGAAATAAGTGTCCAGGAATGGCAACCTGACCCTACAGAGATGTATACAATACACACTGTGAATTAGTCCTTGAAGATGAAAGGGTGTGTGCTCGGAAGTACTTAAATTTCCGCTCAAATTTCAGATTTCTCCGCTTGAGCTGTGGATGTTGAGTGTGATTCATCAGGGCCTTGCTTTTGTTTCAGGCTGCAGACATGCTGAGAAATGACCCAATAATCCCAGAGGAAGATGAGCCCATACGTTCTCTGAATTTTCAGGAACTCAATACGTGTATCCACTAGGAGAACAAGGTTGTAATAGCTCCTCACGGTGGCCCATGGTGTCAGGAGTTTCCAGCCCAGGACTTGGGATCAACAGACACTGCATCAATGACTTTGTTAACTGATCTGGGGCCTTGTCCGTTATGGAGCTTTATGTGAGCATCACAGAGTCCACACAAAACAGGGAGATGTGCACATGCGTGCGTGTGTCTTCACGGGTAATTCTGTGATCCCCTCCTCTGCTATGAAGCCTGTATTTAGAAACCCTTCAGGCATAAACAGAAAAGAAACTTCATCCAAATGAGACAATAAGAAATTTGAACTTATTCTGTAAACTGTAAAATGCATGCTAATGATGGTTGTTAGTTACTATTTTCTTATTAGTGCCCATTAAAAAAATCTCTGCTTGTCACCATCAGTTATTATGATCAACATATAAACAGCAGAATATTTTTTTAGTTAAAAAGCTGCAATTTGAGTTCCTCTAAGGGCAAAAGAGCTATCTTTGTTCAAGGAAAAAAAAAAAACCTTACTGGGAATATTCAGGGCAGAGGTAAAGCCTCAAGGAGTTTGTCATAAGCAGACAGAGAGATAAAGGTAAGGGAAAAGGCAATCAGAAAAGAGAGATGGGGAGAGGGCTGGAGGCTAGGGACTGCAGAGTTCAAAGAACTTTTAAGAACTGGATGTATTATATTTTGATCTAAGTTGTGCAGCACCATATTACAAATCCCTCTTCCTTGCCCTACAACTTCAGAAAGCTGTCTACCTACCCAACCTTAGAGATCAGAGGTATTTGGGAGAGCAAGCAAAGCTGGGCTGAGAACTTCCATGGCGGTCTAGCTGTGGACTCTGCATTTCCAATGCAGAGGCACGAGGTCAATCCTTGGTCACGGACCCTGCATGCCAGACGGAGCAGCAAAAAAAAACAAGAAAGAAAGAAAGAAAAGTGGGTGGCACTGAGAGTGGGGTGGCTGTGTAGAAAACAGCCAGGGAGCACGAGGCAGCAAGACAGTCCCTGGACGGGCCTCTGAGCTTTGGCAGAACTTCAGGGCCATGGCTGCCAGAAGACAGGGGGCAGAGCTAATGGCGACACTGGATGTCTGGCCCTGTTCTTCATGCTTTACTTGCAACAGCTCCTCAAAGCATCACCCCAACGTTAAAAAGAGCATTATAATGCCTATTTTACAGATGAAAGAGCAGAGCAGTTCAGACACCTGCCCAGGATACACAGGGAGTCACATCCAGATGTGGGATCCGGGCACACGGACTCCTGCGTCCCTGCCTTTGCTCATTGTGCCCTGAAGCCAATGTCAATCCCAACTCAAAAGTCACCAGGATTCCAGCTGACATCTGGGCTGCAAATTTCTTGTGACTGTTTTCAAACTGATGCAATCAGAAGCCGGGCCACGCTTAGATGGTGTCCTGAGTCTGCTGGCACTCCTGGAAACCAGATGTCAAGTCAGGCCTCCCCAACAAGCCCCCACAATCCGTGGGGGTGAGAGTCCATTGGGATGACCTTTACATGAAGACCACGCAGCACTACTATTTCCAGGAGCCAGAGCAGAGTATGAGGGGGAACAGAAGGACAGATCGTGGCCCAGGAAAAAGGCAGACCAGACACGGAAAACTCTCGAGGAAGCCTGTTCACATTGAGCCTCCACGGTGCAGGCCGTGTTCATAGTTAGCATCTGTTTTCTTGGCTTGGAATGATGGACCCAGGAAACCTGAGTAGGCCCATCAGAGCAGGGTGGGTCCCCAGGGGCCTGGAGTGGTCAGTGGGGGCCTCTGCCTGTGCCCCCCAAACACCAGGGCGCAGGAAACAGATTGTGTAGGAGAGAGAAAGCGGAGTCAGGTCTGCAAAGCAGTGAGGCTCTGAGGAGGGAAAGTAAAGACAGGAGTGTGTGTGAGCCTCGGGAGAGAGCCCTGCGGGGGCGCAGGGGTCAAGGGTCATCTGCGTTTGTGTCTCGAGCCCTGTGGCGCAGGGAGCCTGGGCCCACCTAAGAGGCCGGGCCCACAGTGACGATGGTGATCCATGGCTATACTTGATTCTTCAGGAAGCTTGCCCTGCTCGGCCTCTGGGACGTTCAAGCTCTCCAGTGTAGACCTGCGGGTCCACAGTCGGTCATGAGCCAACCCTGCTTCTACAGCAAATGTTCTCTGGAAATGAAACTTTCTTAAAGCCCCTTTAAGAATCCTGAGATGAAGAGAATTGGGAAGATGAAATTAGAGTGCATTGGATGCAGGGAGGTAGCTTGACACGAGTTATTTCAGGGGCGTGTGAAGACCTAGAGCTCCCCAGCACTTCCAACTTCCTCGCTGGCACCTAAAGTTGCCCTCTCAGCCATGTCTCCTCTCCCCAGTGGCCTCCAGGGTGTAGCACAGACGTTTCTGGAAAATGTCAATCCCCCTGCAATGAACCTGTAGCCTTAGCTCCCTGGTTACCCAGTCATGGCTGGAATACCTGGGGTCTTATGTGTATTCAGCGCAGGGGAGAGGGGCTGGAACACTGGACGCAAGGGACTGTTCTCCCTTCTCCTCCACTAATTGTTCCCATCCTAGGGAGCAATCAGGCCATCAAATAAGCAATACAAACTAATATGGGTTTAATGAAATGAGGGCCTTGGATTGACAGTATTTTGCTTTAAGGACTCTCTGGGCTCTGGCAGCATAATTTATTCATAACTTGCTACTCCCCAGGAAGGGAAAACAGATGGTTTATCTGTTTCCAAGTCAGAGGTTGAAGGACTAAGATCAATAAGCATGATCCCATGACAAACACTGCTGTCTGGTTCCACTCCAAATCCCACTTCCCTTTTGCCTGCCTCCCACTATAAGAGTGAAAATGCTAGAGACTCATGTCCCAAGCCTCCTTTGCAATGGAAGGTGGTGATAAACGGAACTATGCTTGGAGGTATCTGGGAAGTATTTTCCCTCCCTGATCAAAGGAGGGAGGCACTCAAGGAGAACACTCCTACATGACCCTACTTTCTGCCTTTTGTCCAGGATCGGGTGAGCATGTAGTGCCTAGAGCTGTGGCAGCCATGTTGTGGCCATGAGGAGAAGGCCAGAGAAACAGATGAGATGACAATCTGGTGTCTTGATATCATAGAAATTCTAAACTTACTCAGAAATCACCTACCTCTAGACTTCTTGGTGAGTAAATTAAAAACACACTTATTGCTTAAGCCCCTGCTACTTAGGTTTACTTTTACTTGTAACAAAACATATCCTTTTTAAATTTAGTGGCAGTATATAGAGCAGCACAAATAATATAAAGTATTAGAAATAAAATAAAAATAAGACTGTGAGCTTTACTTCCACAAAGTTTCATAACTACTAGTTAAGAAATTTATCACCTATTCACTCTCGAGTCAAACCCCAAATCACTGGTCTACCTGAAAATGCTAATTAAATGTCCAGTTCTATGCATTAGATCCAAAACAGTGTGCTAGGCTTTGAGATGTTTTTCCAGCCTTAAAGTGCTGAAGGCAAACATGGATGGATCTAGAGACTGTCATATTGAGTGAGTTAAGTCAGACAGAGAAGAAGAAATATCGTACGACTTTCCTTATATGTGGAATCGAAAAAGAAATGATACAGATGAATTTACTTATGAAACAGAAATTGACTCAGACTGAGAGAATGAATTTATGGTTGTGGAGGTGGGGGGCAGAGCTAGTCAGGGAGTTCAGGATGGTCATGCACACACTGCTTTATTGAAAATGGACAGCCAACAAGGACCCACTGTACAACAGGGAACTCTGATCCATGTTATGTGGCAGCCTGGATAGGAGGGGCATTTAGGTGAGAATGGATACATGTATGTGTATGGCTGAGTCCCTTTGATGTTCACCTGAAACTATCACAACACTGTTAATTGGCTATACTCCAATATAAAGTTTTAAAAATGTAGAGAAAAAAGAAAAGAGGTGGAAAGCCATTTAAAGTTTAAATTAAATGGTGCTTTAACATGGGCTGTTTTTGTTCTGGCCTTGCCACACACTTGCAGGGTCTCAGTTCTCTGACCAGGGATTGAACCCACACCCTCTGCAGTGAAAGCTCGAAGTCCTAACCGTTGGACCGCCAGGAAACTCCCTTTTCTGTGTATCTTAAGGTGATTATTATTGAGTTAAGGCTGAGATCATTTAAGTACCTTGGCAAGCTAGCAGGAGAATTGGGAGACTGGTGACAGACTCTGAGATCTGTTCTAGAAAAGGATTCCTTCCCCAGATCTGACGGTTGTGAAAAATTCCCCAGGCCCCAGTGCTATTTATCATCAGCAAACATGTGAGGATCCCTGACAGTGATCTGGATGTGGACCTGGGCTGGACAGCAGTCTAGGGCCGTGCTTGTATCATAACAGATGTAATATATGCTGACTCACAGCATCAGCGCTTTATCAGAGGAATAAATGGAAAGTGATTCTGGGCTGAGAGGGTAAAGGGATCAGTTCATGGAAAAGAGAGCCTGCTTAGGCATATATTCTGAAAACTACAGACCAAGAGCCAGAAGAGGAGTGCCAACCATGAATAATGAAGTCACACATCCAGACGTCTGGACGGAATCAGACGTTCTGATGAATTCTTTTTTCAGCAAAAATCAAGGTTTCCGCCTGGTGCTGAATACTTTGAAGATAAGTGCTCTGAAGGCAGAGTGAGGTAGCGATCACATTCATTGGAGTTAGGTGAACTTTCAAGACTGGGTTCATTTAAAAAACGAGCCCCAGAGTGTCCCACCAGCTAAAGGCAGGCTTTCCCTGCCTTTGAGGAACATTCTGATCTCCCATAATTTGGTTGTTCCATGATGTCAGGTGGTTATAGAGACGGAGCTGGCCTCACCTGAAGACTTCACTGGGGACTGCACATCCCAGTCCACATTCTAACCAAGAAAATTCCCACTGTGGCGAAAATTCTCAGGAACACACAACTCAGCCACCAGCAGAGCCACAAGCACGCCCTAGGAAGTACGCATCTGAGTTCCCACTCACTCCCCAATTCATTGGGCTGCATCCCTGCCTTCTCTCCACCCCCAGCTCCAAATAATGGCAGGTGGTGAGTGGGTGGGGAAGCGGGGAGACCCCCTGTCCAGGCGGGCCTTGTTCCATCCATGCTTAGCACGGGAAGTCCTAAATCCAAGGCAGCTCCACCAGTCAGGGGTCAACTGGGATGGCTGGTTCCCTACTGAGGTTCCCCGCACCCTCTGGTGGATGCTTGCCCTCTCGGCAGCTCTGGATGTGGGTTAGCCCCTGGGCTTCGAGAAGACTCTCTGCCCCCTTGGCTTCTATTTATTGTATTTTATTTTGGGCTGCGCTGGGTCTTCACTGCTGCATGCAGGCTTTCTTGAGTTGCACCAAGCGGGGGCTACGCTCTAGTTGTGGTGCGTGGGCCTCTCACTGTGCTGGCTTCTCTGGTTTGGAGCACAGGTTATACAGCGCATGGGCTTAGCTGCCCAAGGCAGGTGGGATCTTCCAAGGCCAGGGATTGAACCAGCATCCCTGCATTGTCAGGTGGGATTCTCAACCACTGGACCACCAGAGAAACCCCACCTTGGCTTTCTTTCCTCCTCCCTCTCTCATATCTCCTTTCTTTACCTCTCATCTCTCTGCTGACACCTTCCTTCCAGCCTCTACATTCAGTGCTTCTCACAGTTCTGTCCTTAGCTTGCCTTTTCTCTTCCCAACATGCTGGGTTGACTAGTGTCCCCTGAAATTTATATCCTCCCAGAACCTCAGAATGTGACCTTGTTTGGAACTAGAGTTTTGGTAGATATAACTGGTTAAGTTAAAATTTTCATTGCTCAGTCATGTCTGATTCTTTGTGACCGCATGGACTGCAGCCTGCCAGGCTCCTCTGTCCATGGAATTCACCAGGCAAGTGGGTTCCATTGGCTTCTGCAAGAGAAGTTAAGACAAAGAATGTTGCCTGCCATCAAGCCATCAGCCACTGCTGACATCCAGATGGTGCACCCTGAGGGGAATTCAGGATGGAGAAAAACAGGATACTGGCCCAAGAGAGTTAAGATGCATATCAAAGGAATAATTTCAATGAACACAGACTCTTGCATCTTCCCATACACAGAAAAGCACTCAAACTATTAACTTGAGATGTCTGTTTCTTGTGACTAGCATTAATCTTTTAATGTCCAACTACATTTTTTTTTCCAGCAAATATTCCTATATATCCTGGTTTCTTCCTTACCTCTTGGGAGCAGTTCCTCAGAGCTGTCTGCGAGGCTGTCTCCCAAGCTATGGTCCTCAGTAAGGTCCCCAAATAACACAATTTGCAGCTTTTAGGTTGTACATTTTTTTTCAGCTGACAAGGACGAGGAAGGATGTTAAATTCAGTATGATTAATGTCCTTATAGACAAGGAGACAGCCCACAAAGACACAAAAGGAAGAAGGCCACGTGAAAATAGAGACAGAGATTGCAGTAATGCCATTGCAAGCCAAGGAACACCAACATAGCCAGTGTTAAAACAACAGGCCCAAAATGGAGGCACTTATGCTCACCTCCATGTCACTAAACTAGATCTGATACTTAATTACAGTTTCAGCCTCTTCCAGAGATGGACTTTTAAACCAGTCAGTCAGGAATCAGCTGTTCACTCTAGTGAGTTCTTCTGTTACTCAGACATGTGCCTTCCCCTAAAGGACAGTAACCTTGCAATAACCTGCTGCTTCTTTGTCTAGTATAACCTCCTTGTTCCCACATCCTTCTGCCTATAAGTCTTTCATTTTGTACAGCTCCTCAGAGCTCCTTTCTGGGGTGCTGCTCAATTCATGAATCATTGAATACAGTCAATAAAGGTCTTCAAATTTTAGTTTGTTGAGGTTTTTTTTTTTTTTTTTTTCCAGTACCAGCAGCTATCAGAAGGTAGGAAGCAGCATGGAAGAATTTAGGAGTTCTCAGAGGGAACATGGCCCTGGTAACAGCTTGATTTCTTCTAGACTCCTGAACTATGGGGAGGAGTTTCCACCTCTTTATGCCACCCAGTTTGTGATACTTTGTTACAGTTAACCTAGGAAACTATCACAACCATTGTCTTAAGTAATGTAATTTAGTGCTAAGGTTTCAAGTCCATCTATATGTCTGTGACATCTCTAGCTCTTAAGTGCCGGCTGGGAGCTCTCTCTCCATTGAGTTCTAGATTTGGTTTCCAAGCACCAGCTTAGACAGCAGACACCCTGGATCTCA